TCTTTTGAATAATTGCATTTTGATCATCGGAGTTTCATATTCTTCCATTTTGGCCATTTTTCGTTCATTTTCTCATACTTTTCATTCCATCCATCAATGTAATCCTATAAATACCAATTATATCGAAGTAAGTCATATTTCAACATATACATCAACATTTTTCCATGTTTTGTGACCTAAATAAGTGTGTAAAACACACTTATCACACATGTTGTAACTCGTAAGGTACTATGAGATATACAGTTCGAGACAATAACAATCGATAAGAGACAGATTGCTCTAGATAGAAGGTTTTCAATGAACATGATCCAGCTATTTTTTTTTTAATTTTTAATTTTTATATTAATTGTTAGATAACAGAAATAGTAAATCATGCCTATAGAAGTTAGTTTTTGTTAGATGTTATCAAATATTAGTGTATTAATTTAGAGAGATCAAATCAGACTATAATTGATATTTCATAATCGTGGTGGTAAAAATAGGATCTAATTAAAGTTAACTGAGTGATGCATATAGAATCTTACACGTGACTCTATAGTTCAAATGGAACAGAACATGTACTAATACGAACTGCTACGAATGGATAGAAAATGACTTCTTACAACAAAATACATGCCAACGACTAACACGTGATGTTGATATCTCATTTGACAGCCACTTCATGTAAAATTTTCACGGAGTTAATTTAATCAATGATCACTAGATTTTGCTATACGTTATAACTTACTGATCGAAATTCGAAAGTTTATTCTTTGCTCATTGAACTTTAATATATATTACTACTTGTTCATCGAAATTTAAAAGGCCACTCGTTGTGTACCTAAATTTGAATAAAGTTACCTATTAATCACCTATATCATTTCCATAATTGTTATTTATAGCAAAGTTTAACGAACAACGAATAACTTTGTTCAAAATTAGGTGAACAACGAGTAAACTTTTAAATTCTAGTGAACAAACATTAATCTATAGCAAAGTTCAGTGAGCAGCGAGTAACTTTTAAAAGATCGAGTAGCAAGTAGTAAGCATAGCAAAGTTTAGTGGCCATTGATTAAATTAACTCCAACATCCACTCTTTGTTTCTCTTAAAAAAGGGGAGAGCAATTCTTCTAGCACAATTTTCATATTTCCTACTCAGTTTGATTTAATTCTAAATGAAAATTTTGGTCAATAGACATAATTGATTTGCTATGATTAATCTCTCTTGTGCCAAGCATATAATTTTTTTTTTGTGAGGACGGATCAAAATACAAATTTAACCTTCTATTAGACAAACGATAAATATTGGTCTTTTTCTACTAAATAAATTATTATGCAAGTCATACCATCCTTCAAAAAATCGAAATACACATTAAATTCCATCCCTTAAAGATCAAATAACTGTGGGAATGGATAAATAACAAGATTCCATACTTAAATTAGGTTTAGAGATGAGAAGAAATTAGAGTATATGTTGGTGTACATCTTTTTCACGATAGTCTATTCTATTGCAAGCCTCACGCTTCAAGAAATATCTATAATTACTAATCATAACAATAAATGCAAACAATAAAAAGTGTTGAAGATAAGTATTATTGGGAGGAGAGTAAATTATTATTATCTCTATTAGTGGTGATTTACATCATTTTTACTAAAAAATGGGGGTGGGTGTGTTTAAAGTAAATGAACAATTGAGGGTTCTGCCATTGTGTGAATGTGTTATAAAGTTTTGAATAATTTTGTGCCTGAATTTACAGTGGATGGCTGCAGATACAGTACCAATTATTTGTTGTGGGGGTAGTCATTTTTACTGGTCAAAATTTGGTGGTGGTGGTGGTGGTGGTGGATTGTGGTGGTAGTGGTGGTGATTTGAATGGTGGTGGATTGTGGATTTGTGGTGAACGTGGTGGTGGTTGTAAGGGGTTGTGGATTTGAGGTGATGTTGATTATTTGGACGGCAACGATGGTGGAGCAGGGCGCGTGAGTTAAAAAATGATTGTGACCAGTTAATTGGTAAATTAGTGACTAAAGCCCTGCTTGGTACACATTATTTTTTTCATTCTCATTCTTCTATTTATTTTCAACCACACATTTTTCAATAAAATAATATTTTCCATCACATCAATAACTTTTCCTTCATTTTTAACCACTCATTCTCCATTAATTTACTATTCAATAATACATTCTTTCTTAAGAATGTATCTCAAACACACTCTAGATTAATTTTTTCAATACTCTTTTAGTCGACATAATATTTTTAAAGAATTATTTAAATATATTTAAAAATAATTTCATAAATTCATTATTTCATAAATATCTTTTAACATTTTAAAAGTCACGTCGATAGAAACAAAGGTGAAAAAAAAATATCGTGAGTTCGAAACCCTTATTTACAAAGTCTTTTGGTCATTATTATGTTTTTCGTAACTCATATTTTATTTTCCAAAATTCTTTTAGTTGCACTATTGCATTCAGCCCCTTTTGGTTGTGGTTAAAAATAAAAATTTTAGATCGCGTGCAATATATAATTCAAATTAAATATTGAATTTAAGTTAATTTTTTTTTTTTATCAAATTTTTGAGCTACAATAGAGAACCAATTTTCTGACCCAAAATTGGAATTTTCAATCATTGATACAATTTTATCAACTGATAATGACATTACAATCTGTCATCCCATGTTAGGACAAAATAATTGAATGGGTGGGTTTACAATGCTTGTCAACATTTATAATTAACCAAATTTTGTCCATTGCTTGTGAATCATACACTTGGAACTATTTGAATGGAGCACAAGAGTACCCACTGCATAATCCTGTGGTGCTGCTGTAGGGGAACAAAGAAACGGGTCGACTCAGTGTTCCCCATCATATCACTATTCAAAAATCAATTCTTTTCCCAAAAATCTCTACCAAACATGCTCTTATTCTTATATACACAAACACAATTGTTCCAAGTACAATTTGGCAAAAGAGATTCCTTCTGGAACGGTATCCAAGAAAGCAGTTGTGAAAAGATCTTGGCCCTATTCATGATTTAGAAAGAAAGGTAGTCAACACCAAAATAATTAAAAATGTGATTTATTTATAAAGAGGAAACCGAAAATGGCCGACCATTCAAAGTTAACGGACCCCGACAATGATTTCCAACCAATAAAGAGAGATTGTCAACCTAAGACTGGCCGAATTAATTTGACTTTTAAGTATTTCTAAGTAGACGGACCCCGACAATGATTTCCAACCAAAAAAGAGGGATTGTCAACCTTAGACTGGCCAAATTAATTTGACTTTTAATTATTTCTATGGGATAATTGAGTAGTTAAATGATGGATTTATGGGGACCATTAATTTAATGCACATGCTAATTACTTACACCTATTTATAGTGCGTGTCAATTAAATTAAAATGGTTGGAACAGAAGAAATTGATGTAGTGGAATTTGGGAATTGGGATACAGCTAAGTCAAATAAATTTGACAAAGAATCTCATCATTAATATAATATAAATCAATCTAATGGTTCAGACTTATTTTCTTAAAAATAGAAAAAAATATATTAAAAAAAAATTGGCTCATCTTATGATAAATAACGACCACGTGTCATATAAATCTATTGATGGATAGCAAATTCGTTCAAATGATAAGACTCACCATAAATTTATTCAGGTGTTTATCTTATGCTAAATATCGATAATATCAATTCATTGATGAATAACAAATTTAATTCAAATGCTAAGACATACTATAAGTTTATTCACTAATAAATTAATACGTTGGATCACCGATACTTAGAATTTGTTTTATTGGGAATTGTAATTAATTGTGTTTGATTGATATAATTTTCACCTGGAAAATGTTGAAAATTTTGTGTCCGTTTGGCGTTATTTTTCATGAAAATTGTCTATTAAAGTGATAATTTTTTAACCATTGGATCTAGCATTTCTTCCAATTGAAAAAAAAAAAAGATAAAAAAAATATCATTCGTTTGACTTTGTTTTTCATGAAAATTGTCAAACCAAAACAACAAGAAATCTTTTTCCTCCAAAAGCTGGAAAGTAGGCGCGTGGGTGGAGTAGGTGAAAAAAAAAATTTCAAAGAAAATTTTTGCTGTCAAACGGTGCAAAACTTATAAAATGAAAAACATTTTCCAGGTTCTATGTAAAATGTTGCCCATCAAATAGGACCTAATTGTCAAAGCTTCTATGATCTTCATATGGTTATTTAACAATATCGTTTGATATCGTCTTCTAGAAACAAAATGAGAGGTGACAACAATAGTTTCGTAAGCGAATAGAAGTAAGTTTAGCTAATAAATGGTTAGTCAGAACTCAAAAGGTCTTATAAATGGGGTCATATATATTAAAATCTTATAAAATAATAATATAGGGATCATAAAAAATTATTATTTTAGAGAGATTATTAAGTTATCAATAAATAAACAATTTATTAATTTTCTATAGATTACATGAATCCATCGGGCTTTTTTATTCAACGTTACAAAATTTGATGGATAACTAGCACTTCATGAATTTTTTTATGGTCATATTAATGTAATTGGTATGGTCCAATCGTCTAGTTGGCTTACATCTTTTACTACATTTTCTCGAACCAAAAAATTGACGTCACTGCGAGATACATGCAGACGATGTGTAAAAAAGAGAGTGAAAAGATTTTTCTGGTTGAAATTTTGATCCAACCATATCTCACCACGTTATGTGTACGTAAACCATTATCTACGAAACCTATATAAATAATGCCTTGGTTGATATTTTTTTGTAAGGAACGCGTGTTATATGAAAAATTCATAATATTTCATACATATAGCAAAATAGCGAGACTTGAGGAATGAACAAACTCCTCATAGTTGCAAGCCCCTTGGACGGCTCTAACAGCACGAGAAAACCCAAAGAACTCTAAAACAAACACACAATCACTCCAAAAACAAGAGTTTCCGTAAAACACTTTCAAGAACAAAATAATTTAAGGACTCGATAAAAATAGTAATAATCCTACGAGCTGCAAAATTTATGGGCATGCTATATTGAGCGTTGTTGCTGCTGCTGCCGCCGCCCCATTCATCAGGAGTGCTTCGTCCATCAACGTGAAAGCTTCATTGCAAACCTCAAAGTCGAAGTCGAAATCGACATCCGGTAATGCAATAGGCTGATCACTATCCTCGAACCCACCAAATAGGAGGTCGTCACAGCCATTGGTAACGTCGTCCATTGGGAGCATGAAATCATCATTTGTAGGGATGGAATCGAGTAACAAATCCAAGTCCATTCCCCCTGCAAATTGTGCCAAGGATAAGATTTCCTCCTCCACTGGTCCCGAATAAGCCACTTTCTGCTCAACTTTAGCCTCCAAGCAAACTTCATTGGCCATCTTGTCGTCACTTTTGCCATTGATTCCCGCAGATGAGGTCATAAAATCCAATTCCAGCAATGAAGATGGAGACGTATGTGAAGTGAGTGAGACCACACTTCCACTAGATTCCTCAGAAAGGCTCAAACCAGCATTGTTTTGATTCTGTTTCTGATCAGCCTTAGAAACCACCACAGAAAAGTCAGTATTGTTATCAGAATCATTTGAACTTTTCCCAATTGAGTTGATTCTATTAGCCAGAGATTGGAATTCAAGACGTTTCATTTCATAAGCCTGAGATGCCTCTTCAGCAGTATTGAAAGTACCTAACCAGATCCTTCTGCCTTTAAACGGATCCCTTATTTCTGCAGCCCATTTGCCCCATTTTCGCTGTCGAACGCCTCTGTATTTCCCTAAACTGGGACGCACCACCCGGGACATACTTTCAACTTTGGCTAAAACCTTCTTCTTCCGGTTTTTCTCACCATAGTTGCTATCCTGAACTGAACTCTCTGTTTCAGGGGTTTTAGGTAAGCAATACAAGTCCGTCCTTGGAAAGTAAATTTCCTGAACAATTCGTTTAAGCTTCTTCTTGTTGATTCCTTCATCATCGGATGAGTCGGTCGCATCAGGGTCATCGCAGATTATCCGTAGTCTCCTCATTCGTTTGGTGGGTTCTGCTATGTTTCCTGGTTCTTTACTTAAAGTTTCTTGATTAACTAATGGTGACATAATTTTTCTTCCCTTTAACCACTCCAAAACCCCTTAAAAAATACCAAAATTTTCAAAGAAAATTAAAGAAAAATCACAGAGCAAAAATGGAAGATTTCAAGAAAATCCAAGATTTAAGGAGTATTAATTTAGAGGACCTCTCAAGAGCAAGAACAGATTTAATCTCTTTATGTGAAATCCCACAAAACTCTCTACTCCAGAACAAGTCCTGCAAAACAGAACCCACAAAAATAGCAAAAAAATTTCAGATCCACCATTAAAACCTCCAAAATTCACAAAAAAGTCATAAGAAAATATAAACAGAAACATCATACGACATCTACAAAAAACCCACAAAAGGGTTTAAGGAAGAAATGTGCAAACAAAACAAAACAAATCAAACCCCAGAAAATAGCACAAAAATATATCAGATCAACCAACAAATCGTAAAAACAGACCAAAAAAAGGTCAAAAAATACAAATATATACACACAGAAAATCCTTTGACATATACATAGAAAAAACCCACAAGGGTTTAAGGAAGAAGTTTCACCTTTTGGGCCTCAAACGCATCGAAAAAAATGGGGAAAAAAGGAGGGTTCTCTTCTGGAGTGCACAGAAGATGGATTGTTGCATGCAGAGAGCAGTTGAAGAAGAAGAAACAGAGAAACGGAGCTTCAATGAAGACCCAAAAACAACATCCAAATCAGAACTTCTCGACATAAAATCACTTCCAACACCAAACCCTTTTTCTCACACAAAAGCCCCTTTCTTCTTCTCAACACTCGATAACGAAAAACAGAGTGAGAAAAGGAGAAAAATCGGATCAAAATACACATATTAATATAGATACGTGTTTGTATATAAGATTAGAAATCAATGGCTATTATTTTTCCATTGTATTTGACTGACTAAAAAAAATCGTGAAAAACCCAGTTCCACGTCTCTCTCCTACTACCAGTCCACCACTGTCTACCACTGGCGAGCTGATAAAAATAAATGGGGGGATTTTTTCTTCAGTTGCTTTCCTCGAAAATTTTGATTTAAATATATCTTATCAGTTTTTTTTTTTGATAACAAAGCAAATTACATTCAAAACTTGAAAAGAATTACGTTAATGCATCATGCTTAATAATGTGTGAGACACCGAAGGATCATTTCACCACACTACCAAGTCATTAAGATGCTATGAATTACTAGCTAGACAATGTGCAGCTGAATTAGATAGGCGACTTTCATGTCTTACATTAATATTCGGGAATCTATTCAGTAACAATCGAATTTCATGTATCAGTTTTTTATTGGTAAAGAAATCTGTAATTCGTGATGTACATGTAGCACAATCGCTATTTTTATTTGCTTCTTGGCTTTAACTACATCATTAAATTTAAATTTTACAATCACAACACTTTATAATTTTGGTTGACAACTCATACTTGATAACATTATATTCATTTATTTGTTTTTTAAATCAATGGTTCATGTTTTGACAACATCGGTGTTGTCAATTAAAATTGTCAATAACAATTGTACAAATATGTTAATTTTTAATTTTATACCACTTTCACAAATTCAGGTTTTGCTATATATCGAGATTGACACTCATACGTATAGTCCTCTCACAATAGAGGAATCCAACGATTTTTTTTATTGCTCATGGCCCCCTATTGTGAAAGGGATGTACATAGGGGTATCAATTCCAGCGTACAAATAGCAATTTTTCACAAATTCTAACAAAAACCAGTTCAGATTCTTAAAATAATCACGCTACACAAAAATGTTCAAAAACGTGGGAGACGCGTGTTGACGCATGATTAGACAGTTTGAAAAAAACACCCAAATAGATATTGCCAAGTCAGCGTATCTTATATTTTTCTGTCTTTGAACATGTTCAATCATCATTATTCTTTTTAAAATATGCATAGCGTAACTTAAATTGTAAGTAGGTCACAAAGACAACAATTGACTGGCCTTGATCTTAACGTAAATCTCAAGGTAAGATAAAAAGAAACAATATAAAATTACTCATAATACATCGAAACACAAAACAAGTTAAGTAATTTAATAATAATATGCGTGGGTGTGTACCCATTTTGTTGTGACTCATGTTTTCTTTGCGGTTCTCTCTTTTTTTCTTCAAGTCCTTTTCTCATTTGCACAACAATCAAAAGTTACCATCATCATTTACTAGAGTTTCCAATCAAAGCAATAATGCTTCTCTTCCTGACCTTTCAATACAAAGGAAGTGTTTGAATCTATACTCGAGCCTAAATGAAAAAGAAACAGAATTGAGAACTTACTTTGAATTGATTGCATGATGATTCCTAAAGAAAATAGGGAGGGAAATCAAGCAAGACTCTGTTAGTGACTGCGAGCAAGAGCGAATTGGGGATATTAAGAAAAACAAAATGAAAATGCAAGGAGTGAAGATATAGTGTGCATATAGTTAAGAAAAATGTTATTCATCCTCAATGGAAATACATCCCCAGTTTATGTGGATGTAAATGATTGGTGAACTGATAGGTGAAATGAAATAACTTAATTAATTTCATCTATCATTTAATGTCACATAAACGCCACAAAGACTGGGGATGCATCCCCAGTGGGGATGAATAGCATTTCTCGTTAGTTAATGCGTGATTTTAGAGTAGATAGTGTATATCTGTCGAACAGAAAATAAGTGTATGTTGAGTTGATGACAAGCTGGCAACGATTATTGTTAAATGACCATACCATCTATTATGTCATGTATATCATGCAATGCATCATGTTGGTACACGTGTTTAAAATATTCAAATGTGAAAAATCTCAACTTGTTTGTATTCAGGTACAAGTAGATGTTGAACCGGCAATGACCAATAATATTGTATGACCATATAATTTTGTATGTCATGCCATTGCCCCTATTTTTTGTTGAGAATAACGTTACTTGTACATAACGAAGATAAATAATAGTTTACATACAAATAAGGTATCAAAAAGAGAGTGGAGTTTTTTTTTTCTCGGTTGAAAATATTCAAATCCAATCATATCTCACTACATCACGTGTTTATAAATCATTATCTAAGAAATTATATACATGTAGTACAACCAATTTGTTGAATGTGCATCTATTAATAAATCTTAAATATTAATCTCGTATTTGGACAATAAGACAAGAGTCTAACATGATGAAAGAAATAAATGTATCTTGAGCAGAAAATGAACTGACAATATAAGAGCTCAATGACTGTATCTGTCCAAATATGTGACTAAAAGTCAATGTTAAAAATTTCATGTGTTTTTTTTATTATACTTGACGTGACTTTGATATTTTGAAATGTTTTTAGAAGATTTTGCAGATGTGCAGATGTACAGGCAGAGAATAAGAGTTTACATATTATGGTACCAAATTATTGTCCAAGAGGAACAAGAATAAATTGAAGTCCATGGACATACATAAATCATCGAGGGGATGAGTTCAAGCCCATAAGGGAGTCACCTCCAAGAATAAGCCAACCTTTTATGATTGAAGGTTCTATGAAGAAGGTTCAATGTGATAGAAATAACCCATATTTCTTGAATTGTAATAATACTATATTATTTGTGTTCATTCTTATGGTGATAATGCTATAATAATGTGATGTTAGGAAGAATTTAACCCCAAATGAGTACCGAGACGAGAATTTTTGCAAAGCGTGGATCACATGCACTCTTGGAGGACTCATCTATGTAAGAGTTGCCATGAGGCTGTGTCTATGACATTTGGCCTATTCTCTATGGACTTTTACTAGAATCAAGATTAAAGCGCACGATTATTAATGACGCTACCCGTTATGAACATAATCTAAATCGATACTGCGTGCGGAACAATTGAAGTTTGGCTAAGAGACCAATTCAAGGCTTAGTCCATTAGACTCCCTCAAATGAAAATTGTTATTATTGAGTGATGTTCAAGTCCAAAAGACACATACATACATACATACATACATACATAAATACATACATTAAAAGTAGCTATGTAACGGAATTCTTATTTTAAACAGGCAGCTGCACCTTCTTTCAGTGTTTTTATCATATCTTTGTATTCCGATATCCGATTGAGGCGATTCAAAATGCGTTGAAAAGCTAACTCATCTAACTACAACTTTGATTCAAATATCTTGTGCTGTGACCATTTGAAAATAATCTATGATTATTAATAAAAATGTGAGACATGAGCCTTATTGTGTTATCAATCATTATAAACAAAAAATCATGCGTTGTGACTTGGGCTGTGATCGTACAAAAAAAATTCATGTTACCGGAATAGTCGTCGGAATCGGAGCAGTCGTCGGAGAAGTCGCCGGAATCGGAGCGGTCACTGGAACGTTCGCCGAAATAGTATATCATTGGGTTCTAGAGAAAAAAGGAAAAAAATGTTGAAGATCTTGCACAAAGAATCCACATTGGTCTTGTAAAAACCTTGAAATCCTGACTTTTTGATTGATTTCTAATTTTTCTCTCTTTTTGAGCTATCTTTTCTTGTAATTGATATGACTTTAATGTCCCAAGAGGCCCATTTAGTTCCAACCCTCCTTCAACTATTGAATTTAGGCAAAAAATTTGTTCAAATTGGTTTCTAAAAAAAGTTTGAGAAGAAAATGAAACAATTCCCCTTTTCAATTGGACTCCTTTTCTCATGCAATTTTAGTCATTAATCTAAAAAAATTCATAATTAGGTTCTCTTCATCCCCAAATCATTTATATTGACCCTAAGCAAGTCCTTGAAATTTGTAATTTAGTACCCATACTTTTTAAATGTCGAATTTGACTCTTGGCACTTACGAATTTTTACCAAGTACTTCATTAATAGTTCCAATTGATCACTTGCAATTCGGTTAATTTTCAATTACTCCGAATCAATTCCAATTAAACTACAAATAGCCCATTTTTGCACCAATTATATCCAAGTTGAAATTTTTCCTACAATTAATATTATTTACACAAATTAAGTATATAATTGCACAATTTACATATAACTGAATAAAAATATAAGCATGGCTTATCAAATACCTCAAAACTTAAACTATTGTTCATCCCAATCAACACTATCTGCTAAACACACAAGGAAACAAGCAAAATATAAATGCATTGGATATCTTTGTTCGAACTCACCTCAAGTATTAAAATCATTTAATAATATATAAAAACGCTCATAAATAATCCAACTAAAACTAACTATTTACTTATTCTATGCTTGATAATGTGTGTATGTTTATTGTCATTCTAATCATCTTGAACTTTTAAGTTGGTTATATTTTTGACCCTTAATAATCAATTATTTCCTCCCTCTCTCTCTCTCTCCCTCCCTTGTGGAATGCTCCCCCAAACTTACTTTTTAATCAAATACTCGAGGTTTTTTTTTTTCAAACATTTTTATTCAGCACATAATCGTCAAATAGACATTATCTAGATCAATTACGAGTGCATCGACAATATTCAAGATCAAATGCACAAACACATGTCCACGGCTTATATCCCATATCTTGGCATTCTTTGTTGCATTCTGCAACTGTTGATTGACAACGTCCTATAATATAGTACCATCCACTGTCTTCACCTGCAACTAAACTTTTTTAATGTGAAGAAAGGAGCAGCGTGATGCAAAAAAGTCCAATGAAAAGATATGTTTGTAAGAACCTTGCTTGATGTACAGAAATTATGGTCCCCAGACCATTTACACACACTCACAATAGGGGTGG